CCAGAAACCGGTTCCCAGAAACCACTTCCCAGAAACCACTTCCCAGAGACCATTTGACCCGCGTTCCGAAACGATCCGAATCCGCGTTCCGAAACGAGCTGAATTCGCGTTCCAAAACGAGGCGGCGGCCCAACATCCAACAATGTTCACGAGAACCGAAAGCAAGCCATTAAAAACCAACTGCAACCAAATCACCCCAAAGCAAAACAACCCACCAAATTTAAAAGCTACCAAAAGCCAACAAAAGAGGCTATCAACACCTAGACATTAAAATCCGAGAGAACAACCAAAAGCAAGCAACCAAACACCAAACAAGCACAAAGAAACACCAAGCCACCAAAAGCTGCAGAAGCCACCGAAGTCCAAAGCCACAGAAACCCATGGCCGCCAAAAGCCACATGGCCGCCAAACAAACCAAAGTAGGTTCTTCAGGAGACTTGCGAGTGTACAAATGTGTAGAACCAAGGCAAGAAAGGTCCTTGTTTGGATCCGGTACCATTTGATAAAGACTCTTGAGGAGATTGGAGAAGACTTTGTGTAGATGTGCACGTTCACAAATGTCTCAGTAGGTTTCCTCCTTGCTTTCGGTCAGCTGAGTCTTGATGCGCCAACGGAGCCACAAGCCAGCCACAAGCCAGCCATAAGCCACAGAAGGGAACAAGGAAGACAACAAACACATCCAACATTTATCGCCCTCCTTTATTGAACATCTTCCAAGAAGTGTGTTTTACTTCCCCTTTCAATCTTGGTGGAACACGCTGCACACCATTTCAAAGGGTGCTCATGCCAAGCGACTTGATCTCCCTCAGGCGCATGTTGTTCCACTCCTTGCGCGGATTCCGGAACGGGGAGAGATTAGAGGTTGAAGTGTGTGGACACATCAAGTGAGATCGAGATGATGGAGACGGAGAGATCGAGAAGCAACTTTGAGAACTACCAGCAGCCCAGCAGCTCATAGTTTGGGCAGTTTGTGACTTTGTGACACTATATTGACCCCACTTTTGACCCCATATCACTCATATCGGATTGAAACGACCTTCATCCACCCTCCCAGCATCCCACGCCTTCCCTTTTTCACTCTTCCACTTTCTTGGAATCACCGTCCATTGAATCAACATGAGATTCACCGCCCCCCCTCACCTCACCGCCTGCACCGGTGAAGCCACCCTCACCCCGCAGAAAGCACCGCAGAGGTCCTCCGGCCCGGCCCACTGCCACCGATGTCCGCTCCTCCGGTGGAGTAGTACAAACAGGATCCAAAAACCACCCTTAGAACCCCAAAACCCCAAAAACCGAACCCCCCCCAAACAGCCCCAAACGTACCCCAAACCGCACCCCTCCACCCTCCGTGTGCGAAGAAGGACCGACTTAGATGTTTATGGCAGTCTTTTCGTCTCCTCCGTGGAGTAGTTGGCAGAGAAGGTAGGCCCGAACCACTTGGGACGCTTGGAGCCCATGGGCGCCGTGACGTTCCAGCCTGGAGCCGCCGCAGGGGGGCTCTCCCGAGCTGCGGGCGAGCTGCGGCCGTCCAAGCTGCGGGGGCAAAAGAGTGGGTTCCGAAACGAATATTTCAACCGCCAGGACCTTCAGTTCGTGACCTCTGACTGGAGTCTCGAATTAAGTGACCTCTTTAGGGACGATTCGTGACCTCAGCCACTAGGATCTCAAGGACGGTCACTTTGAAGGTCCTGGCTTATATTAGTGGGTATTGGACATAGATGAGCATGGTGAAACTAAAGCGAAACTGCATGTGCAGTCATAATGACTGCTCTGTTCGCGAAAAACGGCAAGAGCATTTTAGACATCCATGTGTCCACTTCGTGCTTTCCATATCGCTATGGCATCCAGGCGTTCCAACAGATATTCCATTGCTCTCGAGACCAAAAACCGGATGATCGCTCCTGGTTCCTGCAATCATCACAGTCCCACCTTGGAACCAGATCGCGAGATCCCTCCTTTCCATTGCAGACAGTGAATCGAACACACAGACTCAACCCCTTCAACGCTCTCAAACGACCAGTGCTTCCATAAATCGTCACCTTTCAGGGGAACTATTAAATCATCGTCACCCTTCGGGGAACCATTAAATAGCTCGCCTAGTTATAGCCGTGTCTTGTTCTTCCCTGCTGTGCTCGTCCAAACGAACGGCCGCGTTGGAGCGCTCACCGGGTGCCAAGTCACCCAAGTCACCAGGAGCCACGCCCTCCTGTGACACCCGGGTCCGCCCTCCCAGGTCCACCCAGGTCGTTGGAGTGGAGGATGGGTAGGTTCCAGGCCTTTCCATCTCTTACATCATGATGTTCTTGTTAACAAACTGCTGGTGTACTGGGACAGACCCTAGTTATGACACTGCAGGAGGCAATTGAATCATCTTGAATCCGCAAAACACACTCGTCGAACCAACAGCGTTCCTGTCTGGACTCTGGAGGGTTTGGAAGGAAATGACGTTCAGGCGGTGACAAGGCGGTTAATCAAGTTCAAGAAGAAGTGGGACATGCCCGGGAAAGGAACACGTCCTGAACATTGACAACTAAGTACGCCAGTTACATGTTTTCCTCTCCCTTGCCTATAGACGTTTCCTTGTTCTTAGGCCAGATCTTGTTTTCGTTGCAGTAGCTCCACAACTCACATGCTCTCCTTCAAGGATCGTCATAACATCTAATGTCAACCCACAAAACTCTTGGCTCAAATGGCCAGCAGTTTATTTGGCGGTTGGACAAAATATCGTCTCTGGAAGTTGAGTCAAGGGTTCTGAGGGTGGGCTACAACGAGAACTTGTGGGTTTCGCAGCCCATCCTGCAGGCACAGACTCATAGTTCCTAAAGACAAACAACTCTTCATCACGTTCATCAACTCCTCAAACAAAATGATACTCTCCCTGGAACTAACATGGAAGTGGAGTTCACCACCTGTTTGTAGTGGATTTCATGGTCCTTCCTGGGGCCCTCCACGTAACCATGTGAGTCTTCGGGAGTGGGCCCTCCACATTTCAAAGTTCTTCAACTCCCAGGAGACTGGTCACATCTGGATGTTCTGCTCCTCATGTCCTCGACTCCTTCCCGAAAAAGGAACACGTCGTCACTCGCTGCTCTCGCCACCGCGCTGCTCTCGCCGCTGACGCTCCGCTGCACCGAGGGCGATCCCCTCGGTGGCGGTCGGCCGTTGCGACAGGCTGAGCTGCCCGGCGTCGTATTTGCTGATGACGTTCCTCGGAGCGGCGGACGGCCTCCCTAGGCAGGGCATCCGCTCTTGAGCGGAGTTTTTTTAGGTCGGGGAACGCTTAGGTAGATGATCCGGGTGATCGAAAGTAGATATCCACCCTAATTGGATGCTGCCATTGACACCCCCCAAACTCCGTCCATCCACCTCAACATTCCACACCAACCCACCCACTAAACCTCTAGCTTCCGCCACCCCCACCCCCCTCCGCCCTCCGCCGGGAGGCTCGTAGCGCCAGAGCTCCGAGAGGGCGATCACCACGAGGATCTGCAGCCATCCGACGATCGGCACCTGACGATCGGCGGCACGGGACGGGGCGTGTCGCGCGAGGGGGACGTGAGAGGTGAGAGAGAGACATGGAAGAGTGGTGCCAAAGCTTTGAGATATAATTGTACATAGTTAGGCGGTGCAAATCTTGGGAGCTTGCACATGTCTGTGACCGGTTCATGATCAAAACGGAATTCGAACAGCATGCCAAATGGATTGAAGTTTCCAAACATGCACATCCCAAGACATGCAGGTGTTACTTTCGGGCCAGCCGCCGGAACTGGGAATTTTCAGGACCGACCGTGGAAGTTTGAAACACCAAGAAAGCGGAACATGTGGAACCCAAATCAAAAACATCAAACACATTGATTTGAGTTTGACCCTCCCAAACACTCCATGGGACATAGGCATTGATAGACCTTCACCACGTTTCAGCCAGCCACTCCAACTGATCGGCCAATCTGTCACTCTTCTGGGGTGTTTCGCCCCAAGGGAAGCTCTCTTCATCCAGCAGAGTCGGGGTCCTTGAGAAGGGGGAGTGGAGGACGCGACGAACGGAGCAAGGAGGACGCTACGAAGAAAAGGGGCTCCTGGCCGTACTACTAATAGGAACAAGGTTCGCTACTGAATTCAGTCCGTTGGGAGTCCTTCAGTCCGACGTGAACGGCGGACGGCGCCGAGCGGAGCGGCGCTCGGCCCTGCTCGCATGGAAAAGGAGATCTTGTGGATCGAAAGAAAGACCGAGAGAGTAGGGAACATGGGCAGGAACAGCCGGGTTGAGACCAAGCCATTCAGAAATTATATCATATAATCAGGTGATCTCTTTATATCACGTACTTTATATCTAAACGTCCCACTCATCCCCCCAAAAGAGCACGGCAAACACCAAAACAAACCGGCCGGTCCCCCCAAAACCCGACCACCGGACCTACGCCGGCCCGTGCTGGGCGGGCGCTTTGCGGCACCTGGGTGGCGGCCTTCAGAGGGTCCGAGGAGTCGGTCGGATAGCGTGTGATGAAGGGCTCGATCCTCGGACGAGGGCACGGAGCTTCTTCGAGCGCTTTAGCGGCTAGCTCGGAGCGGAGCGGGGAGGGACGACAGATCTGGTAGACTCCCGCAGACCAGCGAGTCTAGGGACGATTTTGGGACCCTCTGCAGATAATGGGCCTATTACTTTCAGGTCACCGGGTCCAAAGCCTCAGATCCTGGTTTTGAGGACCCGGGAACGGCCGGGTGTTCCAACGGTACGGCTGGGTTTCCCGGCTTGGCGCCGGAGGTCTGCACGGTGTAGCCCAGAGTCTGAGAGCGAAAACGAGCGCATCCGAAAACGTGAAAAACGAAGACCTACCCAGATCATCCCTGAAAGTCAAGCAGGAAGAATTCGATAGCGTACATATCAACAGGAATCCTAGATCTGTGGAATTAGTTCATGACATCCTTTCCCAAACAGTGTGGCCACGCGATTTTTTGCAGTCGGGGAGGGGTTCTAGACCGGGCATTGGCCTGGTTTGTGGCGCTATTTTCTTGTCCTTGAGCTGTTGCAGTCGTCTTCTGCTTCCTCATCTTTATCCTTTATCCTTTAGTCTTCCTCATGTCGCGTCTAGCTCCTCCGAGTGTGAACTCCGTGCCACTTGCTCTCAGATGGCCGCTAACAACCGGCCGTGCCACTGGTCGCACGTGCTGAACAAAAGCAACCGCAAAAGTTGGCTCACAGCCCTTCTGGTCATCCACTGACTTCTGACTTGCTACTAGCTTGTTCATGGATGGTGGCTCCACTTCAACCAACTCATCTTCCGCTGGTAGGTCTCCACCACCCCTGAGGGGGGCAAGCATCTCCGAGGTCTCCTCCCTGCTTAGGCAGAAATAGATCGCTTCTAGGTTGGAGGCCATCGCTCCTGGGTTGGAGGCCATTGCTATTAGAATGCTATTAGGTTGGAGGGTGCATGTCTTTCTGGCCAACTGACCAGCCAGCCGGACCACAGAGCAGAGGTGTGCCTCACTGGTAGAACTTTGTTTTGCCAGGGGAAGTGAAGTAGAGGGCGGTAGGCGGTAGACACATTACCCCGCTGGGGGTGGAACTGTATCAGTGAGACTAGAAACATAACACCACCGTGCAAAAAGATCATCCGCTGGATTCTTTCTTGGTGGCACCAACCGAAAATATAGACTTAATAAATGATTCGGCAGGATCCCATGTAACCCCCTTATTCAAAATGATCGAACACGTTGCCCCATGCAACCCTGGTGTTTCCACACTCTCATTTGCATGAGTCACCCAACTACAGCCATCAAGACACCAATATCCAACTACAAACCGCCCTTGTTTCACCAATTGGAAAGGAACCTAACAACCCCGCGGCAAACCATGCAAAAACCGTTGTGTTCCGCTGGTCAGTTCATCCCCGCCAGCTCGTCCTCCCACCATCCCCCTAAACACCTGGGTCTCCGAACTGCCAACATGCACACGCGCCCGTGTGCCAGCTCAGCCTCACGGTACCTGGGGATGCGGCACCTTCTGCCATACACTGGAATCCATTGAGCTCCCCAAAATACCCTAACTACCGTGATTCTCTCCCATTGTTAACCAGGGGCCTCTTGTATTATATATCTTTTCTTTCCTTAATAATTAGGCATCACAAGCAACCGGCCGCTGTCCAAAAAATGGCTTTGGCCCTGGGCTGGCCTCCCGCATTTTCTGTGGTGTGCGTTGTGAGTCAAGGAGGCACAGCCAACATCCAGAAAATTTCCGGCGCGCATTGTACCGCAGCTTCCGTTTACACGCGCATTCTTTCCGTTCTCCAACGGCACGGAGCCACACAAACGCACTTTCCACCGAAGCCGCGCCAAACCGCCTGGCACAGCCAAGCCAACGCCGTAATGTCGCCCGCACTGTGTGCCAACTGAGCGACAACAAACCTCATTGACACCTGGTTGGAACCACAAATCATCCCGCTCACCAGCGACATGTTCGCTCAAATACGAGGGCAGGAGGCCCGACTTTAGCAGGTCAGCGCAACAGCCCATCCCCGTGGTCAGTGCGAGCAAAGCGGGCAGGAGGCCATCCTGTTCTTCGAGGCCAGGCGAGTGAATGAGTGCGAGCGAGTGAAACAGAGGGCAATCGGAGTGGATCGGGGTGAAACAGACGACGGATCGGCCGCAAATAAAAGTAGGAACCCCGCCGCGCAAAGAGGTGGGGAACGGGGAACAAATGAACAACATACTTGCAAGCGTCAGATCCCAAAACGGATGTGAACGCAAAGAGGTCAATCTCAGATGGCGCCATGTCTTCTGCTTTCCAGGTCGAATGGCCAGCCGCGGTGGAAAGCGGTGTTGAGACGGGGTGGTCGGTTCTTGCTGTGGGTGGAATGCGGGTGTCTGGGGTGGTCGGTATTGTGGAATTTGGATGATGATTTTGGCAGAATGTGGAAGGAACCACACGGATCAGAAAGGCATCTGGGAGTAGCATATCTGAAGATGTCGCCAATGTCGCCTGTCTTGTGGCAATTGAATCATAGTCTGAACCTTAAGGTACGTAGTACCCAATGTAAGCTTCGTGAATCCAACATAATTATCCAAGTATAGGCCATGTATAGGAAGCGCACAAATGAGAGCAAGTATGCGAGCACACTGGTGTGTGATCACACATGATGATCACAACGCCAGCAGAAATAAATTTGAGAGAACACTTGTGAGAGAAACATGAGAGCACATATCTAGCATAGCAGCATTATGTTGTGATCTATGATCCTGACCAACCATACCGTAGACGTATGCATAGCACGTCGAGTCTAGGTCTGGATTCCATCTGGGTTTTGATCGTGGATCCCATTCATTCAACATCTTGGTTGGGGTGCCTACATAGCTTCCATGAGTGTGTCCTTGTCCACCCCAGTTGATCAAATGTCTATTCCATCTATTCCTCACTCCAGAACGGGTTCCCATCTTGAACCACCACCTTCCTCTTAACCGCAGGCAGCGCGCCAAGGGAGCAAGCGAGAGTTCTTGGCCTCAGCGTCCACGTCCCAACGACACTAACGCGGTTCCGTCCCAACGACGTCAACACGCGAGCGACACGAGTGTGTTTTTGAGGCTTATTGCGCCAATAAGAAAGCAAAGTCAACACCAGAATTTGAAGGGCACCTTTCAGAGATGACCAGTGGTCCTTGTCAACAAATCATACACACACACACATGTATGGTTTGGCATTTCTGGACTCTGGCCAGCCATTCATTCTGATTGTCGTTGGGTTCGGTCCGATTCCTCAAGACAAAAAAGCCCCAACGACAGAATCGCGTGCAGATATATACTTTCAGCAACCATGCCTCGGATCTGTTCCATCTTCTGCCCAAATACCCATGGGGTCATGGAGTCAGCAGTCAGCTGTCAGCAGCTCCTGCCTCGAAAGCAACGCAACGCACCAAAACACCTCGACCGCCGGTGCCAGCGCCCCGACCCGCCACGCCGAGCCGAGCGGCGAAGCCGGCAGGGTCGAAGCCCACGTCGCCCACATAAGGGCCGAAGAGGTCGTTGGAGAGGCCTTCCAGGTCGTCGACTTGACCGCAAACATGGATCTGGAATCGCTAGCTAGTCACTACAAAGGACGCGACATCGAACGGAGCATTTCGGGCATCCGCGGCATCGAACGGGCATACGCGGCCACTGGAGGCCATTGGCTAGGTAGGTTGGAGGCCTTCCATGGTCCTCTACCACCCCGGCCTTCCGGGACCTTCTCCCAAGGGATCGCCTCACTGTTTCCACCCGCCTTCCTGAGGATCGCACGGCCGCGGCGACGGTTGGCGGGGTCGGTCGGTGCTTCCACGGGTTGGGTGAAGTGGCCCATGGCCAGCCCCTGGCCGTGCAGCCCTGGGAGAGCCTCACCAGCTCCCAAAGGGACCAACGAAACCAACGCGTTCGGTGTGTCGCAGGATCCAAATAGATACAACCGTGCAGTTGAAGGTTCTTAAAGGCTCTGGTGGATCTAAAACGAACTCAATCTCGTATCTTGTTAGTCCAGATAGCGTCGAGCTGGGTTCTACACACATGCCCGGCATGTAAGCTTTGCATGGAACCTGAAAACCACTCGGTTGTAGAGGAAACTTGTCTTCCAGTCTGGTCCATGCCATCAGGTTCCATCTGGGTCTCTTCCCCAGTGTACTTGGAAACATGCACACTTGGCCATGTGGAACCCTTTCCCATTTCTTATTCCCAACATGTTCAGACTCCCTTGGACATCGGATGAGATTGGATGCAAGGTACCATACCCTTCCCATCTTGCCTCTAGAATCGTTGGGAATGGCCCTTGACTCCATTCCTGCTAAGTAGGCGGCCCGGCCGCAAAACATCACTATTCCAAACATTCCTGATCTACAGTGAATCTTTATGAATCTTTGCTCACGCCACATGGCCAAAGTGCTCCTTCTCTTCTAGACTCATTCTGCGCTGTATACACCGCAAAACTTGGGAGCAGCTAAGTTTGTGTCTTATTTGAGTAATTTTGGTGTCCCATATCGATCAAGAACATGTGTTCTAAACATATAGGATTTATAGGAATGTTATTATTTGATGATGATGATGATGATGATGATGATGATGATGATGATGATGATG